GGATCGGCGGAGGTCGCTTGTTGGTCCACGTTGCCCTGAAATCGTCGTTCAAGTTTTTGTGCAATCCTTCCTTCTCAGCCATCGGAGACAGATCAAAGCTAGGTGTAAAGCTTCTAATTCCTTCAAGAACTCCCCACAGACGGCGCCAAATGATGGGTCTATTCTCGGATCTGGGGTGAACCGGTGGAAAATTGCCCGGATCTGGAATGAACCGATGAGAACGAGCTCAGATCTGTCTTGATGGTCTCCAAATTGCTATCGAACTGCGATAACACCTGCAAGAACTCAACGCCGGAGGGATTTCTGGCGTAGAGCCTCCGACGCTCAAGTCAGTATGTGAAAAGAGTGAAAAGAGCTACTCTGAGGAAGCAGCAGCAATGGAGGAGAATGTGGAATGAATGGGAGTTAGGGTTTTGGAGTTACCTCAGCTCCTTTATATAGAAGTAAAACATTTACCTGAAGTCCCCAAAATGCCCTGGCCGACTTACTAGAAATGTCCAAAATACCCTGGTCGGTTCGCATTCCGTCCACTTCGTAGTCAGCATCTAGATTCTTCCTTATCTTTGGTAGCTTCCTTCTTATCCTTAACAAATGTCCTTCGATATGTTGAAGTGCACTGGAGTCGTCGAGATCTTATGAGCTTCAAGACTTCCTCAGTCGACTCGGGATATCAACTCGAGTCGACTGGGCCATATTCAATTGTTAGTAGATCCTCACGCGTTTGACCGTCTTCCAAGAGCAAATCCACTTATGCTAGTCGACATGTGGAAGTCGACTGGGAGAAATGCATGGACCCTTGACCGGAGATACCATAAAGAATCTGCGGACAAAGTCGACTTCGCGTAAGTCGACTCGATAGTCTCTGAACTGCGATGGTATTGCACCGTTATACGACAATATGGCTATATCAGATATGATTCTCTTCAGGATCTTCACACACCTGAATTTCTTAATGGGATCAAGTGCTCGGGACTTCTGAATCATAAACTGCACCTGAAAGTCGACACTCATGTTATGCTTCTCAGAAACATTGATAACTCCATGGGGTTATGCAACGGTACCATTCATCAAAATATGTAATTTATCATCTATATTTTATGTTATCTTTGTAAAAATTTGAGTGATATGTTTTTGTTTTCTGATTTTAATGTTAACAGGTACACGAATGGTTATTACTAAGCTCAGTAGCCATGTCCTCGAATACTGGATTATAACTGGCGCCAGAGCTGGTGATAAGGCTCTTATTCCTCAGCACACAATCATACCATCTGATTTGAGGGTACCGTTCAAGTTTCAGCACAGAAAGTTTTCGCTCATGGTTTCGTATGCTATGACTATCAACAAGAGTCAAGACCAGTCATTGTCCCACGTCGGCTTACTATTGCAGAACCCTATATTCAGTCATAGAAAGTTGTATGTTGCACTATTTAGAGTCACGAATCGGATGGGTTTGAAAATAATGATTTGTGGTGATGAAGATTGTAACGATAGAACAACCACGGTTGGTGTATATAAGAAGTGTTTAATAATATTTAAATTTCTTTTTAATTTTTTTTTCCAATCATTATGTTATAATTTTTACAATTGTTTCTTTTATTATTTTTTTCGCTGTCATTAAGCTTTCCGTGCAAATATACGGTTAAAAAACTAGTTCAGAGGTAATAAGGTAAATTTAACTGAATTCGTCCTTGTGATAATTTTAATCAACGCAGCAACCTTTTGGATTCATTTAGCACATCAAGCCAGGATTTCTGCATATCCAATCACGAGGGCCCACAATCACGGGTAGCAAACACCATATATATAAGGCCTGGATAATTCCTACATTTCATCCT